CTGAGGGGGAGTAAGAGTGAAGTAGCGGCTGGTCAAGGTGATGGTGGTGATGGTGGTGGTGGTCGGGGGTTTGGTAGGCCAGGTGTTGTGGTGGAGGTGTTTGTTGCGGTTGTTGCTGTTGCTGCTGTTGTTGTTGTTGTTGTTGTTGATGCTGTTGTTGTTGATGCTGTTGTTGCTGAACCTGTTGCTGCTGCTGTTGATGATGCTGTGGTTGTTGTTGTGGCTGTTGCTGCTGCTGCTGAGATGGCTGCTGCTGTTGTGGCTGCTGCTGTGATTGTTGTTGTGGTTGTTGCTGTTGCTGTTGTTGTTGTTGTTGTTGTTGTTGTTGCTGCTGCTGTTGTTGTTGTTGCTGTTGCTGCTGCTGCTGCTGTTGTTGCTGTTGCTGCTGCTGCTGCTGTTGTTGTTGTTGCTGCTGCTGTTGCTGCTGCTGTTGTTGTGGTTGTTGCTGCTGTTGCTGGCTGGGGGAAGGGGAGGCAGGTCCCCCTCCCCCACCACCCCCTGTACTCCGGGCACCTACATGGGCCCGCAGTTCGTTTCGAGTGTATTCACTGAGCATGCCATTCCCGCCTGCACAACCACCAAGGAATTATAAGGCAACCAAGAGAGAGATAAATAGCAACCAACTAGGATTCATACTGCAACCAAAAAGGATTTTATGCTAAAACCATGAACTCAATGGGTCACTATTACATACTTGTTAAAAGCCCCTTGAGCTTATGAACAAATAGCAGCAAATGTGATGTGTTACAAGTTATTACTTAATACTTAGTAATAAAAGGTTAATGAAAGAGCAAATAATGCATTTCATGAGTGAAGAGGATAATAATCATATGCACAGGATGATGTAATGATACTTTATAAAATAAGGATAAAAGGTACTGTCAAGAGTATGTTAGTTCATGTCGGATTCAGGTATGTTTTTGAGTGTTTCTGATAATCTGAGCATAAACTATATGTGAAATAGAACAAAACAGAAAAACAACAAGAGAAACAAGAAGGCAAGATAGAATTTGCTAAAGGTTAGTGGTGATAAAATACGGACCAATCAGGTTACAAGAGACAAAAATAGACCAATCTAGGGAAGGACACATCGGAGGCGGATATAGGGTGAGGACTGACTTCAGGTACACACACACACACGCACAAACACAAAGACAGACAGACACACAGACTGACACGCAGACACACACAGACACACACACACACAGAGACACACACACACACACACACACACACACACACACACACACACACACACATACACACACACACACACACACACACACACACACACACACACACACACACACATACACACACACACATACACACACACATACACACACACACACACACACACACACATACACACACACACACACACACACACACAAGCACTCAAGGTTAGGTGCAACAGGTGCAGCAGACCTTGTAAGGAGTACCAACTTCACATCCAACGACATAAAGGAAAGCCAAGAATAACCATAACATTCATTCTGCAAAGAAGCAGATGACTTCACTTGAATACAATGGAAGCCTAACTTTTTTTTTCTTTTCTTTTTTTTTTCTTTACCAGCTGAAGCATGTATTTAGTAGGACTCCACAGCTCAGGTAGATAAACCATCTCACACACAAGCTGATTAGCCCACAAGTAGAATGTAATCAGTGACATCAGTCATGTTTCTGTTGTTTACTTGTTTAATTAGCAAAAGACTAATGTACTACTTCAACTATCTAATACTTTCAGTCACTGATTTCATTATAGTATAAGGCCAAATAAAGGCCAAACTGGCTTTAGCACACATACTATAGACCAAATACTGTAAGCGAGTTTCAGGTAAGACAAGAGTAGTCCCAATGAAGTCATAGTACTAAGAAAAATGTCTGTGTTGAACAACTGTGCTATGATGTGGTTGTTTTCTTTGTGCTGTATTAATCTAAAATGACAAGAATGTACTATTTGTAGCCACAAATTTTTGACTAGATATCATAAAATGCATTATGCCTATGATAAAATGTCTGTGACAAGGCAATAGCATGATACTGACTGTAATTCAATATATTATTTATTATCTCTTGCAATAAAAATAAAAATAAATAAATAAATAATAGTAATAAACTAATAACTTCAATTCAGACTATTGAGAAAAACAGTTTATATCTATATTTTTTCTTCTACAGTGTCTGAACTTTGAAGACTTAATGCAAGGGAAAACTAACAAGTGTCTCGCCAAAAAGTCTGGCATTAAGTAACAAAATTATCATCTTTATTTACCATTTCTAGAAAACAATATTATTCATGTTCAAAAATAGGTAAATCTGACTTTATAACACTTTGTTTAAAGTAAGCAGCAGTAAAGTCTAAAGTTTTAGCAATGTATGTATGATGTGCACATGAATATGATGGCTATCTAATAACTATGTGCACATTAATATCTAGAAATTAGTTATGTGCTCATGAATATTAAGACTACTTAGCTGATATGTGCACATGAATATG